CTTCACACCTACAGCCTATTTGCGCAAAACATATTTGGAAGAAAATGGGCGTGTTATATTACCCTTTCCTTTCTTCATGCTGCCTGGAATTGCTTTGACTCTGTATTTATATGACTGGAGAGCATTGTAGGGGCCGCATACAGGGACCGCATATAAAAGAATATCGGTTGGCAGCGGGTTACCAGTCAGGTAATCAACATCAATCAGTTTTTCTTTCTCTTCTTCGCCAACCTCATGAATATCCTCTTCTTCCATTACCACTTTGTCCATGTCCGAAGTTTCTTTCGCATGACAATCTCTAGCAAGATGTCCAACCTTCTTACACCTATAACATATTTTCACAGCATCATCTGTTTCTGCACACAACAAGGAGACAGCCATAAGTACAATATCCTGCCACTGTATGAAAATGCATGCAAAGAGATAATTTTGGGCAGATGCAAAGACAGAAAAAGTTTACCTTCAGAAGGTTTCTTCTCTTCGGTGACTGCGGGCTTTGCACTCTGTGATTCAACATCATTCTTCTGTGGCTTTCCAGAAGACTGCACAGAGAAGAGAATTCAATATTTCCCAAATTCAATAATGATTAGCTAAGAATTTATGGTCTATGACAGAAAAAATTGGAGAGCCAACTGGGAAATTCTGAAAGTACTTACTGCCAACAACGCCATCCGTATTTTTCTTTCTTCTTCGTCTTGATCAGCATATTTCTCCTTCATTTTCTTAATTTTACCCCTTTGCCCACGGCTAACTTTTTCCCCAGCTGGCTTGTTATCAGGTATGCTCTTGTTGGCTTGGCTTGAAGACGAAATACCTTTTCCCTTTTGTGGCTGCTTTTCTTGCCCAGTTTTAACATCGGCGGCTGTGTTACCGCTAGAAACATTTTTTTCCTTTTCTCGCTGCTTTTCATGCCCAGTGTTATCATCATCGGCTGTATTACCACTTTGGCCCATCTTAAGCTTTCTTCTTTCAGCTTTTGACATGTAAGGCTTATCTCTAACTACTGCATTTTCCCCTTCCTGTTTCATATTCCCTTCCATTTCTTCCTTTGGTGTCTCTATTGTCTGGTTCTTGCCTGCCACCGTCGCAGTACCAAGACCAAGGGTTCTATCCAGAAGATCTTCAAGCTGTGAGGTAGCTGATGCAACATTTTCTCCAGCAATACCAGATGAATCCATGTCAAAAGAAGAAGAAGTATCTTGGCTCAATGCTGGATTTGATTCCTCTAAATCAAAATCTCCTGGGGCGGAAACCTCTTCAGTCTCTACCTCGATCTCGGACTCTGCATGCTCATCAGGAGCATGCGTTTCCATTACGACATCGTTTGTTCCTTCCTCTTCACCTCTTACCCTTCTTTCATTCAAATGGGCTCCCAAGGAGCTTTCATCCAAACGAAACAACAATCCAAAACCCATGATAAGTGGGTGTGGTGGAAGGAAGTTTTTCTTACCACGTATCATGAAACTCCCTACTGTAAGGTATTCTCCAGTAGGAGCTGTTTTATTGACTTGATGAGGGAAAACCCACCATGCACTAGTAACAATCTTGGAATCCCAGGCCTGACTATGACAAACCTGCAACGAATTATATACAAATGTCTGCCATCAAGACATTGCACCATAATCACACAATTCAAACAACTAAAGTGGTAGATGAAATCGCTTACCGTAAAACATCCAGCTTGGTTTAAAGTAAGAGGCGGTACATTTTGTTCAGGTTTATGATTCTTTATCACAGTACTAGATGCTCCGTGAAGCTCTGCGTGTACATACCTAAGAAAGCATGGTGAAAAAAAACTTATGATAATATTTGAATATCAAATACCAACACAGAAAATAATTCTATACATGACACTTACAGATCTCCTTTTGACATGTAACGTTTAACTATCATCTCATTTTGTTGAGCATCACGACCACTGATGACCAAGTAGTTCTCACTGCTAATGAACCAATTGAACTTCTCAAACCAGTGGATTTTTCTCATGTGTGAAATAGTTGCAACCATTTTTTCCTTTAAGCCAGAAGAATGCAAGTGATTAGTTGACTGCCGGAAAGAAAACACTAAACACGATTAACAGCGATGAAGTAGGAAGCTTACCTGAGAAAGCTGGTGGCGTGTCTTTTTCTCAGCTGCTTTAAAAGCCTTTTCGTGAGCAGAAACAGTCTTCTCCTGTTTTGTTTCTTGTTTCTTCTTCATTTCATACCAACGCCTAGCATTACCGTGCGCAGAAAGTGATAAGTCAACCTCTACCTACGAAAACCACATATCGTGCTCCATATGTCAGAACAAGAAAGAAGATGAGCTTTGTGTATTCAATGTAGGGAGAAATCAACACCTTTTCCACTGGGAGCGTCTTCTCATCATCATCCATTTCATCGAGATTGTTGCACAACAACAAGGTCATGCAATTCTTCTCTAGATTTAGTTTCTCAATGAGTCCAGCAACAGGATTTCCTAATTTTTTTTCCTCCTTGACCATGCGAGCTAGATCATCCCAGCCCATACCCTTTGCAAGCGCTACACGAACGGCTAATATGGCAGCATCAACATCTTCTAAGTTGTACTCGATTAATTCAGCCATATTAACACAATGGTTGACTTCTTTCTTCAGGAGTTGAACACGGTTTTCCTACAACATGAGTACAGAAACATTGCGATTAAGATTAAGTTTAAAGATGGAGAAAGTATAACAGCGATGTATGGAGAAAGTACAATTAATAAATACCACAAACCTGATCCTGTCGTATCTTACTAAGCTTCTGGCTGGCAGAATCTTCTTTTGCCTTTTGTTGATATTCAGACCTTTGGCTCTCAATTTTGCTGTAGAACTCATCTAGTGCCGCATCAAAAGTTTCAAACTTTTCATACACTCTCGATTTGAATTGATTTAATAGGATTGAACAGAACTCATCATACATCTGTAGACAAAGAAAATACAATATATGAAGTCCATTGCCATTTGTGAAAAAAAAGAGAGGCAATGAGTTAAATATTGACCTTTTGAACACCTCCTGATTGAGAAGGCGAGTCATTTGCCAATATTTGTTTTTGCATTAGAATATAACCTTCAGGAACTCTTTGACCATATATAATATCTTCTAGCCAATCTTCAAATACGATTACCGCTTGAACCAATAACTGAATCATATTCTCATCTAAATTGTTGTCTTCTGAAACTTTGGTACTTGGAATCAGACCAGCATCCAGGATTATGTGCTCGGAGAGCTGTGGCCCATAACCCAAAGCGTCACCAAGAATATTCTTCAAGGTATACTGTTTGGCACCGGTAGAATCATTTGACTTCCCACCCTTCTTGCTACCATTCTGCTCCTCTGATTCAGTAAGTTTTGCTTGATGATCCTTAAGCGAGAAAGCAGTAAGTGCTTCCTGCAGCTTTGAAACTGTGGTTCTCTCAAAGACTCTACACATCTCGATTGGGTAACGGTGGCGAGACATGATAGCAAAACCCTTATTGTCATCTCTGCAAGAATGGAAAATAAGAATCATGAAAACGTAGCAAAAACAGACAATCCGATGAGAGTAAATTGAAAAACAAACCTATGTGATCGGAGGAGAGTCATGATCATATACTCAGAATCTGTAAGAATTATGTTTCCTTGAGCATACAACTCCAATATAACATAGTGTGCATTAGCACCTAGCCCGAACTGGAAGACAATGATCTGGTTCAAGAAATAGCAACTTTTAACGA